GTGGGGCTGCACCACATAAAAAAAATCCTGCAGCACACATTGCGTAATGAGAAAAAAAAAAACTCTGATCGTTTTTTGGAATAAAACCCCGACTTTGAGGTGTATTTTCGTATAGTATTTATCATTGTATTCGCGTTTTCATGGTCTTAGGTGATAAAATGGAAACATATTACAGAAATAGAGATGATTTTCATTACTTTTACGATGAAAACGACCTTGAAACTAAGCTCAAAGTAGCGAAAATGTTCGATTTTTACCAATGTTGAAGAGTAAATAAATCACACCACACGTCCAATACACGTCAACTAGGGAGTCTAATATTCTTTCACTAGTGCACTGATATTATTTATACCATTTTTACAATAATGCAGTCGTCTGCATAACAGTAAATTTTGTATTTTTTTGTATGAATAAAAAATCAAAATAGAAAGCAATAATAATTTAAGAGGGCCTAGAGATGTGACTAATGAACAGAGCATATGTTATTTTAGTGCCACGAATGTCTACCTTGTTTATTCTGGACCCTATTTTGAAATTGGCATCTTTTTTATTTTGCGTGAAAATTGGCCAAATTGCCAATTTCTGACCACCATATTGGGTAGTCCAAATTAGTAAATGGGAGGTTTCTTGTACTCAGCTGATAGATAAAATGGAGTTCTAAAGAAATAGCTATGAGTTTGGTCAACTGGAACAATGGAATTGGCTGAAAATTGGGCTCAAAGTCGGCGAAATCGCCGATACGCATATGTCGCCGAGACCGCTAACTTCGCGGGACCTAATTCCACGAGTTTTCGACCAAATTTCGAACTTTTGGTGTCATTACCATCGGGAAAAGATTCTCTATCATTTCATAAGAAAAAATAATTTTTTTTTTTTCAAAAATTGAGCGACATAGAATGACAGTTTCAGAGAGGGGCCTGAAACAGTCAAAGGGTTAAGGCCAGCAAAGGTTGGTTTGAGAGATTTAAGAATCATAGTGGCATACATAGTGTGATAAGGCATGGTGAGGCTGCCAGTTTGGACCAAAAAGCAGCTGAAAAATATGTGCAGGAATTCAAGGAGTACATAGACAGTGAAGAATTGAAACCTGAACAAGTGTTTAATTGTGACACTGACAATGTTGTGAAACTCTTTAGGAATGTCATTAAGGAACTGGAGGTACAGGCCTCTATGGACAGATATGTTGTGCGACAGAGGTCCAGTGACTCTCAAGCTGGTCCTAGTGGCATTAAAAGAAGAAGGGAAGTAACCCCGGAAAAGGACTTGACACCTCAAGTCCTAATGGAAGGGGATTCCCCTTCTAAACACTAACACCACCCACAGTCTCCCCTCCTCCCATCCCATCAGTCATCACCAGATCTTCAATAAAGGTAAGTGTCATGTAATTGTACGTGTCTTCTACAGTTTGTGTGTATTAAAATTAATGTTTCATGTGGTAAAATTTTTTTTTTCAATACTTTTGGGTGTCTTGCACGGATTAATTTGATTTCCATTATTTTTTATGGGGAAAATTAACTCGACTAACGATAATTTCGATTAACGATGAGCTCTCAGGAATGGATTAATATCGTTGGTCGAGGGTCCACTGTATTCCCTTCATTACCTCCATAGATGTTTTTTGTCTCCACATATACCTCAACACACCACTCATCTTTTTTCCTTCATCAATTCTATGATTAACCTCATCCTTCATATATCCATCCGCTGACACGTCAACTCCCAATTTTCTGAAAACATTCTCTTCTTTCATACTCCTCCTCTCTAATTTTTATTATTATTATTATTATTATTGTTATTATTATTATGATTATTATTATTGTTATTTTCTTATCCAATTATCTGGCAATAGTCTCTTCTTCTCTTGAAAGTGTGCACACACATGTATATTTTAGCATTACAACTGAGGATTCACAGCTTTACCTTCATGTGAATATTTTATTCTTGTTACAGGTAAACATGGAGGCCGACCAGTTGAATGGATGGAGGCAGCTGGAATGGAGGTCAGACTATGGGAGCAGATGTTGGAGAGACCAAATTTATGGGTTGAAGGTTCCATCATGCTCAGACCTGCCATGGATAAGCCTATCTATTCTTCATCCATCACAGAATAGAGTTTATACCTTCATTTTTAACTTAACTAATGTAGATTCTTGACAGTGGAAGTGAATGTTGATTTTGCTAAATTAAATATTTGGTATCGTTTCAGAGGCTAACAAAATGAGGCTTTGTAATGGACACAACAATAAAATCATCCCTTTGATCATGTTCTTGTTGAGGGTTTGTTAATATTGGCCGGCCTTCCTGTGTGTCTTTCTAAGTGTTATCCTAGCTTTAAGCTCTGTTAACAAATTATCTCAAAGGATTAACCAAAAATATATCTAGCATTGATTTCAGGCATATTTATATACTATACCTATAAAATTTACTATATGGGCCTACTGCATCATACCTTGTCACCGTGCTAATGTCTAATATACTGAATAATGATTCGTTTCTCAGATAACATGGCAGTGTCATCTTATTTGAATTCAGTCATGTTCTCTCTTAGCCCCTCTGATGATACTGATCTCAGTGGTGACTTCAACACTTGTGTCAAAGAGATTCTCTTCTGATTTACACAGCTCTTGTTTAAGATTAAAGCTTTTCTGTATTGAAAGATTTATGTACATCAGATGTGTTGACAATGAGTTCTTGTTCCTTCTAGTGTCAAGTAACTACACACATACAAAAACATTTCATTGTCCATGACTACATCATTGAAACTTGTCATGACCTTCATTGCCAGATAACCATAAATGACATTCCTGAATTATTTATTTAAATTCATGAAAAAATTATTCATTGTACTGTATGTTCCTAATTTTGTAAAGTCTTAAGGAAATTAGTAATTTTATAAGTGATATGAAATCATTCTCTCCATATACAGTAATCTAATTTTCATCCAGTCTTTAAATATTGCCTCTGGAGAACATAATGGCTTATGGCCATAGTGTGGCTTTTACCAAAGACTGTATTGAGAACAACGAACTTAAGCTCATTTTATAAAGCCATTCTTGATGTGACTGAAAAAGTATTAGATTTCATTTCCATCATATGTAATTTCATTGATCTCAAGAAAGGTTTTGGAGTTGAGAACTTGAAAACAAGAGCGAGTTTAATGTGAATGTGTTGAGCGTAATGCTGAATGTCTTGCTTTTTTTTTAACAGTGAACTGTAATATGCCTTTCATTGTATGAACTACATGTGTGTGGATCAATTTTCTGGATATTTTTAAAAAGTGAATCTAGATAAACTTCAGTTTCAGGAACTCAGTCAGTCTGTAATTGAGAGTTTTTTTTTTTTACTTGGTTGACAAGGTCAAGTTTCTAGAAAACATGACTCTTTGTAACTCATAAAGAGCACAAACATTGTGCATGGTATACAAGAAGTACAGTATGTAATCTTTCAATTTATACACATTCTGAGTAATTTTTCTTTGTGTGTGTGAATACAACATTAACACACCCATCAGAGGTGCTGACAAATATACACTGATTTTGTGGCTGGTAGGCAACATCCTTATACTGTATCTATTCTATTAGGACCAATAAATCTCGGTGAATATTCACCTTAGTCATAAAGTTATAGAAATGTAGTGATATTTTTGTACTAAATATAATGCTACTGACCTCTGTAAATAAGATGATTACTGCTAGCCACTCTGTTACTTAACATCAGCTTGTGTATTTAGTTCCTGATTATCTGGAGCCATAATGAAAAACATGAAATAATATTATATTCACAATAGAAGATGAAAGTGACTAGATCCTGAAGCTGTGAGCATGTGATATATAGACTGTGTAAAATATATGAGCCCTCTACACAAAATTATTTATGGGAACATCTCAGATGGTGCAGATGATGCTATGGTACATGGACACTCACTTGTAAAATAACAGTATTTGTTATTATTTCTTATGAGATATTTCTTGTATAGTGTGCCATCAGGAAAATGCTGGTATAAGATATAATTTATCTGTGAATGTACTTAGTTCTCATGTATGTAAGATGTATGGACAGTGTATAAAGTGATAAGAATCATGGGGCTCATACCATACATTTTCATTCTGCTACTTTATTGTGCTTTTAAAACAAGTATATTTCTCTTTGTGCCAAGGGAACAAAAATATTTGTAACAATGAATCCATTAATACAGAAACACATAGGTTACTTCTGATGGTATATATTATTGATCATTAGTATTTGGACCTTTTGAGGAATATTTCACCTGTTCTTAGTGTTATCATTTTATGACAGTAAAAGAATACCTTTTAAATCTTATAAGTATATACCAAGGTAAAGCTGATTCTCATGTCTTAGTGACTAAACCTTTAATACAGTTCACTTTCTTCATGGTATGAAGCATAAATCTTCTTACACTATTCTTAAGATCCACTACCAAGCGGCCTCCCCTTTCCTCCACCTCCCAGCTCAGGACTGATACAACTTGTTTGATAAAGGATTCAGTCCCATTCCCATTTCTCTTATATTATCACATTATGTAACTTAAAATAGAGCTTTATCATGTTTAATAAAACACATTGAAAAATATGTTTCATTTATACAACAGGTTTTTTAATGGTGAATGATTTTATATACTTTTTTTTTTTTCGACAAGTCGGCCGTCTCCCACCGAGGCAGGGTGACCCAAAAAAGAAAGAAAATCCCCAAAAAGAAAATACTTTCATCATCATTCGACACTTTTGCCTCACTCACACATAATCACTGTTTTTGCAGAGGTGCTCAGAACACAACAGTTTAGAAGTATATACCTATAAAGATACACAACATATCCCTTCAAACTGTTAATATCCCGAACCCCTCCTTTAAAGTGCAGGCATTGTACTTCCCATTTCCAGGACTCAAGTCCGACTATATGAAAATAACTGGTTTCCCTGAATCCCTTCACTAAACATTACCCTGCTCACACTCCAGTAATAATATCCATTGATTTGGGGTTTAATGATAATATAAACTGCCCTAAGAAGAAAAAAACATAACATATATTCTAAGGGGTGCATTTCTTTTAGTTGTATATACAGTAAAAGTGTGTATCTCAATATATTTATAGTATATATATTCACTTAGAGTTTAGTTTACTTAGTCCCTGTTTTAAGAATAAAGGTATTCTTAAATGGTGATGCACTTGGAAAATGTAGCTCAACCATTGTGCACATTAGCTTTACCCTAACAAGCCAGTGACAACAAAAATCATAATTTCACCACAGGTCTGGGTATATGAGAAATTTGACTTGAACTTCAACAGTTTTAATGCTGTTCCTTGAAACACAACCTGTATTGCTTTCATGAGCAGGTGGTACAGTAATACTCTTATACACACAGTAATTCTTTCTTCAGTAAACAATGATACTTTTGTGCATAGTAATATCTTCGTGCACAGGGTATAATACTTTTGTGCACAAGCAGTAATACCTCATGTCCAATGTAGTAATATTTTGATACAAGACCACTAATATCTGGAGACAAATGGCACAAAGTTGACAGGTAGTGAATAAGCCATAATTGCAATGAGGAACTTTATTAAGATGTTTTGCTTGTGGACATCTTCTTCAGTTAGACTAAAGTAGCCTCTAAACCAACAAAACATCTTAATAAAGTTCCTCTCTGCAATTATAACTTTTTTTGTACCATTAATATCATGCATAAACAGTAACACCTTTATACACAAGCAGAGATTGGAATTTCACCTACCACTCAACTACAGAACCCACAACAAATTGTGGCAGCTGTGGGATTAATAGGTCATGCTGCTCTGCTATGGGTTTATTCCTCTTTGAGGGCGAGGCTCATTGGCATGGTAGAGGCACTTTTGGTCTCAGGAACTGGACTTTTTGGTCTTCTTCCTCCAACCAAACCTAATTACCTCTTATTCCCCCTTTCCCTACCCTGTCCTTTTCCTAACCCTCCCTTTGGGGTCTTTCCTACTGAAATCTTAGTTCCTAGGTTGGGGAAAGGGTGTCAATATCCATCCCATTTTGTTGAAGTCCTTGATGGTGGTGGTGTTTGCTGTGGAATCTGGATCATCTCGTTTCCCCTCCAGAGTTCCAAGGGGTGGCTTGGTGTCCTTCAGGTGATGGGTGTAACTCTGGAGGCTGCCTGTCAGTTCTTGTGGCCAATGGAGGTATGCCTTGTGGCAGATTTCTGGTCTCACTCTCTTTTGTCTACTGAGGTGACTCAGTGGATATAAAGTTGCTATCCTGGATTGCTGGCATGAAGGGTAGGGTATGGCATGGGTTCCATGTAGTATCTGCACTGTGGGCCCTCTTTAGCACAGTGGGGGATATACAATCCCTTTCATTCCTCTTGGGAGCTATCCCTCCACATTACCCCACTCCCCCCCCCTTTTTTTTTGCCTTTTTACCCCTCCCATTTCTAAGAAACGTCCAACTAAGCAATTCCTCTCCCTTACACTCTGTTTCAAAGTCCTTGGACAAAATTCTTAATGCTCTAACCAACTTCTACTTCTGACTATCTTACCGACCATAGCATCAAAAAGGCACTCCTTTGCCATGTTGGGCAGAACATTTCCTTCCATGTTTTTAAGAGTAGAACACACATTGTCACAGTACAAAATGGAGAGCAGGCACAATTTTTCACTTCTTGATGTTGTTGATAACAAACTACTTACAGTTAGCAAGCATGTCTCGCTTAATTTTCGCTGTGGATCTATTGTCCTACTACATACAATCATACAACACAACTTTCTCACATGTCATGAAGACATTCTGGAGCAACTCAAGCTCCAGAATCTCCTGATCATTAAAGCTGACACTTACATACTCCTTGCCTGTGGGAGGAGACGTTATCCTTGCAATATAGAGAGGCATTATAACTTTTGACAGCTCTGAACTTCCATCATCTGTTTAGGTAGCGGGATACCTACAAGGGTGGGAAGTGATCCCTACCCTTCAATAATGTAGAAATGCTGGTGCTTCAACCACCCAGCAAAATATTGCAGGTCAGTGGCAGAATGCCCTGTCTGTGGTGCAACTGACCATAGCAGTCCCTCCAGCAGTCACCCTCCCTCTTGCCTTTACTGCAAGGAGGCACACCCTGCCTATTCTCACTGTTGCCTGATTTTCTTATGAGAAAGAGAGATCCATTGTCTTAAAGAGAAGAAAGACTTCTCTTATGCCATGGCTGTTCCCCATATCTGGTTCCAAGAGCTCTCTTATTCCAGGGTTGCTAGACAGCCCCAGACCTTGGTGGTGCCTCTCTTCCACAATTGCCTGTTTCCCTTACTTTCACAGTCAACTCTGTGTCCAACCCTTTTATGATTCTGGTCTCTGAGGTTCCAACCTCATCATCTCTTCCTGTCCCTACTTCTTCATCTTCCCACTCTCATGTTTCAACATCTACTTGATTCTACACTCTTTATAAATTGACTCCACATATCCCTTCTCCAATGTCTTCATCTTCATTTACATCCAGATCTCCTTCAATCCTCAGACCACATGACATTCCCAAATGTTCTTCTCTCCTCTTTTCTGGGTCTAAACCTTTACCTTGAGATGCATCTGATACTGTTGTGGAGGTTCATGCACCCCCAAGTACAGTTGCTCCCTTGCGTATACCCTCTGGAAGTTTCTGCTTGTCAAGACACCTCTGCCCCTTCTTTGGTGTCTTCCATTATATATCTACTTTTTACCCAAACTACATCTTTACCCTCTGCTGTCAAGCTCTCTCCGACTTCTTTCTCATTTGGAACTATTGAAACTATCTCTGCATTTATCGAGGAGAGAGCACCTATGATGGACACCAGTCCACCCCCAACACTTCACATTCAAACCTTCCACGCATTTCTTTGCACCACCTCTCTTCACATCATCTGAATGCTTCATTCTTTACTAGTTTCCCAATGCCTCTGGATGAAATCATACCCCCGGCCGGGATTGAACCCGCGGTCATAGAGTCTCAAAACTCCAGCCCGTCGCGTTAGCCACTAGACCAGCTAGCCACAATAAGATTCATCCAACTAGGGCTGGAGTTTTGAGACTCTATGACCGCGGGTTCAATCCCGGCCGGGGATATAAGTTGTTTGCAATCGTGTCATTACGATTTCTTGAGCCTCTGGATGTTGACTTTACTGACCCTTTTGGTTCATAGACGCCTGCAAAATGTTACTGTTATGCTTTCTTAGCTGATCATGGCTTATTTACAGAGGAATATTTGAGGCCTCAGGAGTGATTGGGGGGGGGGGGGAACTTCAGGTGTTGCTCTCCCAGTTTTATCCCTGTTTGTGCCTATTTGCAAGAACCAGAATTGTACTTCGCTGTTTGCCGTACCATCTCGGGCAATATCTTACTACATTTCTAGGATCTATTTCCGGACAGGAGTTTTAATGAAAGTGCACTTCTTGTGCACCACTGTATGCCACATTCTCGCTGTATTACACTGAAGTCCGTATCTACTTAGATAAGGGGTATACAGTCTACTCTTTATATCTTTCTCCTTCCTGGCCATTATCTATATCTGGATTATACCTACGGCCCAGTCTGTGACCAGGCCTTATGGGGGATCAGGGCCCGATCAACTAGGCTGTTACTGTTGGCTGCACGCAACCCGATGTACGAACCACAGCCCGGCTGGTCAGTACTGACTGTAGGTGCCTGTCCAGTGCCTTCTTGAAGACAGCCAGGGGTCTATTGGTAATCTCCCTTATGTATGCTGGAAGGCAGTTGAACAATCTTGGGCCACTGCCTCTTATTGTGTTTTCTCTTATTGTGCTAGTGGCACCCCTGCTTTTCATTGGAGGGATGTTGCATTGTCTGCCGAGTCTTTTGCTTTTATAGGGAGTGATTTTCGTGTGCAAGTTTGGTACTAATCCCTCTAGGATTTTCCAAGTGTATATAATCATGTATCTCTCCTGCCTGCATTCTAGGGAGTACCGGTTGAGGAACTTAAGCATTCCCAGTAATTGGAGTGTTCTATCACAGTTATGTGTGCTATAAAGGTTCTCTGTACATTTTCTAGGTCAGCAATTTCCCCTGTCTTGAAAAGTGCTGTTAGTGTGCAGCAATATTTCAGCCTAGATAGAACAAGCAACCTGAAGAGTGTCATCATGGGTTTGGCATCTAGCAGATGTGAGTGATACAATGTTGTGGTCTTTGAAGGTGAGCTCCTCTGATATTATCTCTCCCAGGTCTTTTATACTCTGATGTAGTTTTAATTTCCTCACGTTTTCCATATAGGAGTAATTGAAATTTCTCATCATTGAACTTTATATTGTTTTCTGTGGCCCATTTAAAGATTTGGTTGATGTCCACCTTGAGTCATGTAGTGTCTTTAATGGAGGACACTGTCATGCAAATTCAGGTGTCATCTGCAAAGGAAGATGGTGCTGTGGTTTACATCCTTGTCTATGTCAGATATGAGGATAAGGAATAGGTTGTGAGTGAGTACTGTGCCTTGTGGAGCAGAGCTTTTCACAGTAGCCTCCTCAGACTATACTTTGTTTACTATTACTCTATTTGTTAGGAAATTATAGATCATCTACCAACTTTTCCTGTTATTCCTTTATCACACATT